CGAAAGGGATCAGTGAAGGAGATCCTGTACAGAGTGGGAGAAAAATGGAGAACAAAACTCACAATCAAAAAGACCAAGCTTACTGGTCTGATAGAGACTGGTAAAATCCCCAAGGCTATGGTCCCTACTAGTTACCCTTCAGGCCTGGAATTGAACTCACTCCCGTGGCTTCCAGCCAAACAACAGACAGGCATATAAGGTGAAAATTTACACCAGGTAGGTATACTCCTTAGAACAATCAACTATGGGAGATCAGAAGGGCAGTATTTGCACAGGGAGACAGCTCAGAGGGCAGGAATGCATAGAAACGAAGGACACAGGTAAGTGGTAAGTACGGGGAGGAAGTGGGAAGAGAGAGAGCTGCTACACTGTGGGGACTGCAATCAACATCATGAAACAAAATGCATATGAACTGTTGTGTGGAAAACGAATTTGCTCTGTAAACTTTCATCCAAATTACAATTGAAAATAGAGAAATAAATAAAGACAATTGCTTCTCAGACCTGGCAACACATGATCTCCCTTCCTTCTCATTGAGAAGGCACAGCTACGCCACTCCAAATGAGAGAAAGCTAATCCGGCCTTATTAATAATGCCAAGAGAGTGTGTAAATAAAGCATCAGAGCAACTTCAAGGAAGACCGAGCTCAGGCTAAGCAATGAGGTGAAAGGGAATGGTGAATCTTGAATGTGGCTCTTCCAGCCTAGGAGAGGCAGAGGGGCTCCTATCAACACATGCTTGTAAGGGAGGTGTGACCATGGGGCAAACCACAGCAGGCACTGGAAAACTCACGTCCATCTTGGAAACGAGTAAGAGCTGCTGTTTGATACGGAGGAAAATAGAGTCGAAAGCCAGCTGGTGGGCCTGCTGGTTAAGCCGAGTGAGGGCTGCTCGAGACGCAGACAGCAGGTTATGATTACTGGATCCTTTTTCCTGAAAAAGAAAACGCAAAAGGAAGTTGATTAGGCTCTGGATCCAACCTAGTTATACATGTTTGAAAAGTTATTGAAAGAAAGACAGTAAGGGAAAAATGCAGAACAGAATTTCAAGTTCTCATGGAATCCAGACTTTCTGGAGTCATGGAGGCTACATGAACCCCTGAAGCTGTTGTCCTGAGATCATCTTTAAACCTTAAACCAAAAATGTCCCCTGAAGTCTTCTTAAAACCAAACAGCAGTTTAGCTGAACTAGTGACAAAGGTCTGCCTTGAGCATTGTACTGTTTTTAGAGCTATGGCACAGTGCCTAAGGCATCTGACTGCTAACCAGAAGGCTGGCAGTTCAAACCCACCAGCCACTCCTTGGAAGGAAGATTGGGCAATCTACGTCTGTAGAGATATTGCCTCAGAAACCCAAGGAGGAGTTGCTATGAGTCAGAACCAAGTCGACGGCAGTGAGTTTGGTTCTTTACATGGGATCAAACTGACAACAGCAACTCTAAAGATTAGACAGGAACCTCAGGGGTCAACGAGTCTCTGTAAATGAGGAGGAACAACTCAGGAACGGAGGGGAGGATGGCTGCACAACTCAGAGAATGTCCTCGGTGTGATGGAACCATATGTGTGGAAACTGCTGAACGGGCGGATATTTTGCCATGAGTATCCTCAACAATAAAAACAGACAAACCAAATGATTTTAAAGTGATGGGAGTTCTATAGAGCAATGGCTCCTGAGCCTGGCTGTGTCCCAGGATCCCGCAGGAAATATGCTGAAATACAGCTTCACAGGTTCTACCCCAGCATCACTAGGTTGGAGCCAGGAGCCTGTGTTTTTAATTCACTTTCCCAGGTGATTCAGTTGCATTCAGGCTAACATGAGCTCATGAGTTGGCAGTTTCGGAGAAATTACTACAAATAACCTATGACCACCTTTTGGGGATAGCAAAGGAGGGGGGGCAAGAGAGAGCTAAGAAGCTTTGCATGTAAGTAAGAGTGATCTTCCCAGTCCCAGTTCCCAGGGAGGCTGGGGCCATCAGACTCAGCTGAAGGCCAGAGTATGAACAGCCCGTGGAGTCCCAGGGCACTCCAAGCAGCCTGAGAAAATACAGAGATGGAAAATGTAACCTTAGTTTTACTATTATAAATGAACCGATTACAACAAACAGGCATAAATCAGATCAGCAATAAAGATAAACAGAGTTGCTTTAACCTAATCTCAGGAGCATGGATGAATGAACTTACAGAATTGCTTTAAGAAGTGTGCTTGCCCAGCTCAAATGCAGCCAGTTGGGGGGCAAGGTGCAGAGGGATGGAGAAGACCCTGTGAGGGTGCGGCTGAAGCCCTAGGTGTGTACAGAGGTACACTGGCAGGTCACGGCCAGAGCCCCAGGCCTGTGTAGGTGACCTGAGACGGCAATCGGTGTTACGGGGACGGCAGTGCCACAGGGTGAGGCTGAAATCAGACTGCGGAGGCAGGGGACCAGTTCTGAACTGGATGGCTGGGGCCCTCACAGAACTCTGGAGCCACTCCTGAGAAGCTGTGCAGCTCATTCCATTTACTGAGAGGACCCAAAGGAGTCCAAAGTTCAAAGTGAAACATAGTTTGATGGTAGGCAAACTAAGGGTTTGAACTAAAGAAACGACCAGAAGGGAAGACTTATTTCCACACCCTCGTGCTGCCATGTAGGGAAACGTGCTCTACAGCAGGGCTCCTGGCTGAGCCGTGATCCTGGCTCTCTCTGCCTCACGCTCCTCCTCCAGACAACTCTTGACAGCTGAGTCAGGGTCCTCCTTTAGGGCTTCTGGTCTCCTCTCTGCCCTCAGTAAAATAGGACTGTCCCTGCAGAGGGGCAGCAGCTGTCCAGGTCTGCCTGTCCCGTTGATGAGCTGAACTTGGGTGCAATACAGCAAACCCCCCTGGCCATGTTTACCAGCCTAGCTTCTGTCTATCACAAAGGCCCATCCACCCAGCACCTACCTCTGTATCTCAACTTTGGTCAACTCAGTTTAGTCTATTAGCTCACCAAAGCCTAAAAGCCTGGATCAGGGACAAGGAACAAGCTTTCATTTGCAACAGTGCCGTCAGTCCGGTCTCATACCTTGAGGGTATAAAGGATTTCCATTAAACTGGCATATTCAGCAGGGTTATCTTTCTGAAAGTAATTGTATTCTTGCCATGGATTCTTGGCAGTGCTCTTCTTGTCTGTCAAGATGCTATCCTGCAAACTGGTCAGGCTCCGAGGGCAGCAGGAATCAGAGAGATACTTGCCAGCTGTGGACAAAATCCTGCAACAAAAGGGGTGACTGTTATGCCCTCTAGACATGGGTATGAAATGTCCTGCTAACCGATTCAGGTTGCTCTTCTACTAACTCCCAGGATCTCTTCCTAAGGAGTTCTGGTGGTGCAGTGCCTAAGGCATTTATTTGACTGCTAACCAGAAGGTTGGTGGTTCAAATCCACCAGCACTCTGTGGAAAGATGAGGCAATCTACTTCTGTGAAGATTTACCACCTTGGAAACCCAATGGGGGTCGCTATGAGTTGGAATGGACTTGATGGCAATGAGTTCTGTTCCTCCTGGGGTAGAGGGAGTCAAGATGCCTTTTATTAGGGAACGCAGCTGCCATTCATTGTTCAGGAGGGCACACAGGCCCAGGGTTTCTATTTTCTATTTCACACTCATGCTGCTACAACATATCATCTTCCCAATAAGGACATACACCTTCTACATGGGCGGTTCTCAGCTAACCACCAGCTCAGACATAAGCATCACAGTTTGGAGCAGGTGAGTACTACGGCAAGCCACCAGTGCCCCTGGCAGGGCAGACGACAGGGGGCCCCTGCAGGACGGCGACCGGCAGCTCATGGCACGCCCTTCATCCACAGGCCTCACACGGTCCCGTCCTCCGGGTCTGCGTGGTGTTGGCTCCTCGGCACCTGCCGTTTGCTCTCGCAGATTAGATGCTAGAGATGGGTCCGCTGAGAGTGGCTGCACACTCTCCTCTCTGAGAGAGGCCTGGAGGAGAGCATGATGGTCCTCAAACTAGCGTGGGTGGGGAAGGCGGGCCTCTGTCTCCGACAGCAACTGCCTCCCCTCTTTCTTCCCCTTCTTCACCAGTCATTCTACACACTGAAGTCTGCGCGTCATTATATGAAAATATGCAACCAAGAGAATAAAGGTCGTAATATTTCCAAAATGGGAGCCCTCCTTCTCCATAAGCCCTTAGGAAGAAGTTATCTTTGACATGGCATTTTCAGGTCGTGCTTGCTGTTTCAGACACACACATGAGTAAATCAAGGAACATGTGTGCCTGCAAACCGCTCCCAGGGGATGGCTTCTCGGGAGCCCCTGCTGACATGGCAGCCACCTGCCTCTGCCACGAAGGTCGAGTTATAGCTTTTCCTGTTGCTTAAGCCTCCAGGGAGCTCTAGCTGCGTCTTCTCTCTGCCAAACCGGGGCCGTCACTGCCACTGCCTTCCTTCAAGGCTTCTGTTCTTCTTGTCTGCACTCAACCGTGGCCTTGCAAATGGTTGCCCTTCTTGCGGTCCTCCCACACTCCCAAGTCAGCCTTCCAAAGGATTAATAGGGTGACCCTTGCAAAAGGCAAATCTGATTTTCTTTTTCCCCAATAATACCTCAGTATCCCCCCAATAAAGCCACACACCCGGGTGTGGCACTTGGGGCCCTCCATTGTTGAAACCTTTGTGTCCTTCAAGCTCTGCCATTGACTCGCACGGCAGGCTGCCACGCTGGCAGGCACCCCTCTCCCTCTGGCTGGAATGACCTCCCTTCCTCTGTGCCCCTGGGAAACTCCACCTTCTTCGAGGATGGGCCCAGGGGCTTCTCCTCCGCCAAGCCTTGCAGTGTTCCCCACCAGGCATTCAGCCCCCTGCTCCCATGAGCCTCTCACCTATCTAGGACACTCATCACACATTATCTCATCAGTGTATTTGGCTGCTGACCCAAAAGTTGGAGGCTCAAGTCCACCCAGGGGTGCCTTGGAAGGAAGGCCTGGTGACCTACTTCCCAAAAAATCAGCCAGAACTCCGTGGAGCACAACTCTGACGTAAGTGACGCACCGAGTCGACTCCATGGGAACTGGTGCATGACACGGTGAGGACAAAATCCAGACGTTCTTCATCTCTACTTTCCAACCCCTAGCATAGCGCCTGACCCCCCAGCAGGAGCTCAGTGACCATTTGTAGAATGAGAGGTGACCCTGCACAGGGTGACCAGAAAGCTGAAAGCTGAGCTTTCCTCTCTGCCCTCTGGAAAGCCAGCTCTCCTTCGTAGGGCTAGTACAATATGTGTTTCAGGTTCCATCAGCTAGGGACAAACTGGCCTCACTGCCTCAGTCTGCCATCCAAGTAGAAGAAAAACAAGTGCATCAGGAATGTCTTAAGTATCAAAAATCGAGGTTAAGATTTTCCGGATCAATACAGCCCCAACCCCCAAGGAAGTGATGGCATCTTTTTCTTACCCTCCTCCCCAACCCACACAGACACCATTGGACTACTTACCCCTTGGCATGTGACTTCCTTCTGTATGTATTTACTAGCATTGTGGACTAAGTCTTACTGGAATGAGCATGTCAGTTCTGTTTTCCTCAAAGACCTGCTTTCTCACAGCAGTGGGCTCTCAGCTAGGTCTTGGGCTATCCGAGGATCTGACACAATCCATGCCCTCAAGACGCTCACTGCTTAATGGGGAGGAACATGTGCACAGAGACACTACACTGCAAATCTACTCACTGCTGTGCCAGGAGGACACAGCAGGTACACAGAGGGGTGACTACCCCTGCCATTCCTTCCGTTTCCTTCTATAAAATGTTGTTACCCGCTCCTCAGCCATGGAAACTTGTAGGTATATACTGAATTCCTCAACCGGGTTGTACCACTGGGTCATCCTATACCTTTATCCTGGGGAAAATATCACCATTCCAGTAATACACAGAAGGCAGCCTGAAAGTACAAGAGACATGGCAACCTCCCCACATCTCCCCCAAGGGGCCAGGCCAAGAGGAATCCCTCAGCTGACACCCCACTAGCCAGTAAATCACAAAATGATTCCCTCTACCAGGAGGTGACATTCAGGGCCTGACAGACAACGTGGTTCTTGTCACTAAAGCAACACTCCAAGTGTCTCAAGCTATTGCCTCCACCACCCAGCCACCCAGGGGAGTGGTCCCTGGTAAGAGAACGGGTTCTGTAGGGAGATTGACAGGGAGATAAGATAAGCTTTATAGGCCCTGCCACACACTGTGCAACCTCCCTGATGGGAACACAGATGG